ACCTTGTGCATGAGTCTTTCCACCGACGGTGACGCGCCGTCGAACACGATTGCATTACGATGCTTTCATAGCTCCCACAGGACTAGTAGCAAGATAGTATGAATGTCCTTGGCGCTGAGGTAGTTGTCTCCTCTCTTGGCACACAACCACTCCCCAAGCTCATCCTCGTGACTTGGCTCCCAAGCAAGCTTACCCAAAGCTTCTCCAACCGCCGCCCACACTGTTCTGACGAAGACACATGTGAGCGGCACATGGTTTAACGTCTCCGGCTCCTGATCACACAACGGGCAGGCAGAATGGTGCGGAAGGCCTCTCCTCGCTAGTCTATCTGAAGTCCAACACCTGTTTTTCAGGGCCAGCCATGCAAAGAAGCGACATTGCAATGGTGTCTGGCACTTCCAAGTCAGCTTCGCCGTGGGTACCACCTCCCGACCCCAAAACCTGGCTGCATACGCCGAGCGCACCGAGAACTGCCCACTTGCATCCCAAGTCCAACTGAACTCATCCTGCTCGCCGGACAATGGCTCCCACGCTGCGACCCTCGGCCAAATCTGGAGGAACTGCTGCAGCGCTGCTGCATCTAAGTCCGGGTCGATGTCCATCGCCCACCACCCGTTGGCTGCCACTTGCCCAACCATCCTAGCAGGAGTTCTTGGTGGCTGTGGCGGTGTTTTGAGTGCAGCACTGCTATACACATGACGTTGTGTGAACGATTTGTAAACGACAACGCAGATCAGCTCGTTCATGCATAACACTAAAGTGAAGCAGAAGGCTGGATTCGTTTTGAGGGCACTGCACGGGACTCCTTGGTGAAAGGCGTGGATACTAAAAAAGCAGCGGAAACGAGCTGGGGAATCGGCAAAGGGCAATGATAAGCACCAAATGAATTCAACTAGGGTCAAAATAAAATCTTTTCCATTGAACTCAAAATGCCCTTTAAAAATGTTCAACATTTCTGGTTTGAGGTGGAAGCATCTACCAAAGATGGTTTACATTTTTGCAGGACATATTTGGGCTTTGAATTAATTCAAACATATTTGAATTGGAGCTATTTAAATGCTATATATATGTTAGGTGCTCCAAAAATGTTGGAAATTGTTACGGGTCACTGGAATAATTCAGACAGCACCCCTAATTATTTCCAGGATTTTATAAAATGGTTTAGTATTTTACTAAATCAAAACAAAATAGAATAAATAGAAAAACAGAAACAATAAATTCGGCCCAAATTTGGGCCGGTCGCTGCGCGTACGTCCGGTACAACTATTTGTAACCATACGATAAAAGAATTGGCTTCAAAAAAGTCAACCATCAGATAGAAAAATGGGAAAAAGGTGCTGCACACATGCCAGACTGCACACGCGCTGGCCGGCTGCCCGCACTTGCCCTCGGCTTTCCGTTCTTGCCGGTCACCACGGCCGCCACCCTCGCTCCCCGGCCACACGTGCCACCACGCTCGCCTTGGTTGCCTCCGCTCGCCATGGCTACAGCTCCAATATAGGCAGGTCCCAGCGTGTGGCCACCATGCTTGCAACTTCCCCGGCGTCCCCGTCTCCGGCTTGCCGCCATCGACCTGAACTGCCATGTCCAGCAAAAAAATCTAAAGAAACTAAAACCTCCTGTACTTATGCGCCCAAAAAAAAACCTTCGGCACTTGATTGAAGCAAAAAGATTTGCGGGTTCCGGCAAAACATAATGGTGGTTCCAACAAAAATCTATAGCAGCATAAACCTCGAGTACTTGGTTGAAGCAAAATGATTTGGCGGTTCCAGCAAAACTTATTGGTGATTCCAGCAAAACATAATGGTGGTTCCAACAAAAATCTAAAGCAACATAAACCTCGAGTACTTAGTTGAAGCAAAATGTTTTGGCGGTTCCAGCAGAACTTACTGGTGGTTCCATCAAAACTCTGAAAGCACCAAAAACCTTTGGTAAAATGGTTGAAGCAAAAACATTTACAGGTTCTAGCAAAAGATGAATGATGGTTCCAGCAAAAAATCTAAAGCAACAAAAACTTTCGGTAATCGGTTGAAGCAAAAAGATTTGCCGGTTCCAGCAAAATTGAATAATAGTTCCAGCAAAAAATCTAAAGCAACAAAAACTTCCAGCAATCGGTTGAAGTAAAAAGCTAGCCGGTTCCAGCAAATCCTAATAATGGTTCCAGCAAAAATCTCAGCAGAAGCAGCAAAAACTTAGTAGCAGCAACAACACACCGCAGCTTGCATTCCCCAAGATGCAAACAACAGTAGGACCGGGGGGCTCCGGTTCCAGCACGCGACGCAGCCGGTAGCAGCACCGGATCTTGCTGGTTCCAGCATCCTGACGCAGCCCCGCTGCAGCTTTGGTCGACCTTGCGGCATGTCGCAGCATGGCCATCGGAGGTCCAGCAACTCCCGATGCGCGTCATAGCACGGGCGCCCCAGCGCTCCCAGCACCTCCAGCCGCCCCGAGGGGTCCGCGGCACTGCGGGAGAGGCCGGCAACGGCGCGGCGCACTCACTATGCGTCACGGGGATGGGCGGAGTTGGGATCGGAGATGGCTCGCTAGCCACGACGAGGGAGGAGGTTGGCCGGGCGTAGCAACAAAAATCGATGGCAGAGAATTGGTGGGCTAGCTCGTGGCGAATTGACGAGAGAGAGATAGATGTTTCGAGAGGAGATAAAGAGATAAGGTAGGGAGAGAACCTGTGTAGGGGCCACAACGTGCGTGCCGTATTTTCTGGCTTCTTTATGTACGACACGAGTGTGTGCGCGGGTGGCGTCCGGCGCAACGTTTCGCCGGCGCACCGGACACAAGCATTTACCATCGGCAAAGTGGTCGGCAGCCATACCTCAAGCTATAGCAACACGAATCTGCTTTCCATTGTAGAACACAACGGCGACGCATAGATATGTCCGTGTCTACAACACGTTCTTACCTTGTCGCTGGTCGGTGAAAGTGGTAGCAATATCAGCAGATTTTACCGCCCGGTTGACATTTTTTACATTCCATATCGTATCTGATCTTCGTGGAAGAAGGCATGCAGATCTTGAAATTGACCGCAGTAATTTGTATTCCTTCCGTCTGAAAATACTTATCATCAAAATGGATAAAAAGAGATGTATCTGAACATATTTTAGTTCTAGATACATCTTTTTTTATTCTTTTTGATGACAAGTATTTTCAGACGGAAGGAGTACAACATATTTAGTTCCGTACGGATAGTCGTGTTGAGATTCTCTTTGCATCATATAGCAGCCGGGCTACACAGAAAAGCAAAAGAAGGCCATTTGCGTCGTCTCAAATGTATAATATTTCCTTTGGCACAAACATTTGTAAAGAAATCAACAACAAAATCACATACTGGTTGTATACTTACTTTTTTTTTGCGGGAGGTTGTATAATTACTTAATCCAACACATAATTTGATCCCATTTATTCCTGGATTGCTGTAACCGCCTGGAAGACGTTGGGAGAGCGATTCAAGACTATATTCTATTTTAAGAACCCAAGCTAGCTATGTGCTCGATTGTTAGGCCTTTCACTATGTGCTCACAGCCAGGTACATTGAGATTTGACGTCGACTCTGTTTTAGCACCGGTCACACAACGTGCAAGATTAGGCATCGACTCTAGCTCGGTCCCACATACACATAAACTAGCAATATGGAAGAACGGCAGTGCATTCGAGGCTACTTCGTGTGACAAAGGACGGCAGCGCGCT